CACAGGAATGAATATTCCTTGAAAGATTTTCATGATAAATAATCATCATTAATAAGTTAATTTAAAATATAAAAAATTGAATAAAAATTAAATATGAAAGTGGCCTCAACGAGACTTTCGCATAAGTTATATTATTATTTTCGCTTATCTGATCTCACCGACCATGAACGGGTTCTAGAGGGATTACATAATAAATTATCTGATTTCATTTTATTTTTTTTATCCTCACGATAAGCATTCTTATAAATTCCACCATGTGTGCTACAGATTCCAGTATTGGAATAGGTTTTCTCATCACAGACAGGGCATATTGTTTTAGGACGGGTTTTATAATGTATGGCACATCCTGAAACACGCCAGCACCCTTTCCCACAAATCGAACCATCTTTCTTGATGTATTGACAGGATAAACGATCCATACGAGGTAATTTTGATATTAATAATCTTAAAACTTCATCTTCACTTTTAATATAGATATTCAAAATTGCTTTGCTTTAGCATCCGGGATTAAGGAATTTTTCGAATTGAATTATTTCTCACATAATATAAGTAGAATAAACAACTGATATCTTCTTATATCGACATGTCTACTGCAGAACCCACCCAAAAGACCCGGAAAGCGAAAACTAATAAATTCGTTTTGATTCTAGAACAGTTCTTAGAAAGATATAACTTATCCGCTAAGTCAACTCCAGAACAATTGAGCGAACACGCTTCAGAACTTAATGCTTTACTTCCAGATTGGAAGGCCCGTAAGTGTGTTAAGGAAGCCCTTACAAGAGGCACTGAAAAAAGAAGTGTATTTAGCAAAGAGCAGATAGAGGCTCTCGTGCCAGACCAGAGAAATAAGATATATTCTGTCAGGAAAAGGGCTCAAGAAGTCGCTGAAAGTGAAGATAAGTGGGATATTTTCATTAATACTTTATCTTTGGGACCAAAAGGAAGTAAGGATGGAGTAATTGATGATAAGGAAATGGTTGCTTCTAGCTCAAACCAATCACGATTTCGTAAGTATTTAGCAGAGTACGGGGCTGATCCTGAACTTATTGATCTCTATGCCAAAGATTCGAAGACCACTATGGCTTCCAACAAAATCCAGTAAGAGCGGACTGAGAAGCGCTTGGATAATCCAGGTAGAACTCCAGAACATTTCACCTTTGAGAAAGTGATTAGGAGACTCCAGAATATCGATACTTCTAAAATTCCCTCTATGCAGGATCTCGCAGATGTGATAGTGATGCTGAGCATGAGGCCTGCTGAAGTATCATCTCTCCAGATTATTAATTACAAACCAGATTCTGAAGATCTGCCAGCGTGGTATAAAGCTGGTTATTCTTGGTATTGCACTGGATGTCACAAACAGAGAGATAAACCGATGCCTATGCGCTTACTCTCTATGGAAAAGGATCCAGAACGTGTTAGGGAATTACTTACCTGAATTCAAGATGCTATTAAGGTTGGAAAATTGCGTGATCCAGTTTATACTGAAACTGGAAAGCGTAATAATGTGCCATTTGCCTAATTTATAAAGAGTTTAAAAACTAATCAGGACGAAGATGAGATTACCCCTGAGCTTCTAAGAAAAATAGGAGCTAAACATGCCTCGATGGTTTATGCTGGTCCAAATCCAACCCCTCAACATCTCGACAATCTTTCAGAAATCGCATTAAGACATAAAATTAACCATCTTGATGCAGGAAAAATTATGCTTTAGGTAATCCAAAATCGAAGAAGGAGTCCAGCCTTGAACCAGAGACAAGTGATGGTCCAAAACTCCAAACACAGGCTTCTTCACCTATATCCCAGCCCAATCATCAAAAGTCTCAAACTATGGAAATGGATTCAATGTTAGCTGAAATTGATGCAATGCTAGCTGAAATTCAGAAATAAATGTAGCATATGTGGGGTTCGATTATTCCGAGTATTTGGGAGTCCGATCTAACTAATCCAGATATGTGATCACCAAAATACTGCGTAATTTTATTTTTTTGAATATAATCAATCAATCTATTAGATTGGAATACAAAGGCGGTCAGGTGTTGGAAAGAGAAAGCGCTTAAGCAATTCATATTTAATCTACCCAATATAAAAAACCCAATGTCACTATTCCACATATTCATACAAACCGATGCTTTCTATCTTACAAAAATTTTAAGTCTGATTGAAATACCACCTGTTGCCTGTGAACTTCGTTGTGAAATATGACCGGAGTGGTATACTATCACCAGCTTGAAAGGATTTGCTGGGTCACATATTGTGTGATAAAATAGGCTTGGCTAATTTTATTTTTTCGATTAAAGATATAGCATATATTATTTATAGCGCATTCAAGAATTTTTATTATACCAGAAGTATTAGAACAGATTTTACATTTTTTAGTGATAGATAAATCCCTCTATTTCTCTTTATATATTTCCCGATTGTGGTACAAATGTGGTGTCCCTATTCTATGGAGACGCATTGAGCTAAAGGGAAATGAAGTAGAGGATAAATCTCGATTGGAAAGATTTTTAAAAATAGTATGTAGGGGAGGACGAAAGTTAATTTATGGCTCACATCTAACTCATCTTAAAATATCATACTACTACTCACTTTCGAAGAAGATCAAAGGCATTGCACACATGTTTTCAAATATAATTCATTTAGATTTCGAAAATGGTAAATGTCTTACTAGTAAAGCTCTAAGACTAATAGCGGAATCATATTCAAATTTAAAGTATCTCAATATATCCGTTTTGCACTGTGAGGGACTGGCTGATCATATATCTATAGTTTGAGGATATAGTGATAAAGGCCTATATGCAATCGCAAATTCATACCATAAATTGGAATATCTAAATATTTCTGGTCGCACAGAATATTCCGAAATATCAATTTGTAATATTATTCGTTCTTGTAAAAAGCTCCAGTATCTTAACCTTAGGTATTGTAAAATTACCGAAATGACTATTGAAGAAATTTCTAGATCATGTCTTAAATTAAAATATCTAAATCTGAGAGAATGTAATAAAATTAGCAAAAAAGATGCAAAACGACTTATTCCAATTGGAATTTTTGCTGAACCATATTACATAGCTCTTGGACGATCTGATCTGGGTTGTAATATGTTCAGAAGCATTTACTCATAGATCTGATCAGTTTTATTAATATTTTTTATCATAATGCCTTGATAAAGATATATTTAATGTGGAAAATTTGCCGAGGGTGCTTTGCCTGAGTTCGGAATACTGATTATCGACCCGAAGTGGTAATCTTTAGCTTAGAAGAATTTGCTAGGTCACGTATTGTGCGACAAAAATAGGCTGATCACAATAATGGATCTAGCAACATATTAATTTCATATATAAAAAAGCTAACCAGTCTCTATTGAAATCTCTGAATCATATAAAATGCATATAAATAATTTACCGACTGAAATCTTCATACAAATTCTTGAAAAGACCTCATTTGAGAATATTGGCAAAGTTATGCGAGTCAATAAGAGATGGTATCGTGAGAGTCGAGCAATAGTCCAAAAGTGTAATCATGTGATATTTGAAATATTACTTACAACTTGTTATGATACGTATTATATATTAATAGATGTACTTCATAGCTTTTGCATAAATTTTAATCTCAATTTAGAAAAGAAATTATGGGAGCTTCATGACTATTTAAGGGATCAAAAGAAAAAATAAATAAAGAAGAAGCGGTAATCGATAATTTATTATCACATTATGAAGCAGAGTCACACTTTAAAGGCTTATTTCTTAATTGGCTAGTAGAAAAGCGTAGAAATAATCATTTTAACTCTACTCAAATATCTCTAGAAATGTATTTTATTTATAGACTTATAGCCATTGCTTATGTAACAGATAGGAGTCACGCAAAAATTCTGGCGATCATATAATTGCCTATTACGCTGTGTGACATAATAATTTTCACATATTGTATCAAATAGCTAACCTGCTAATCAGTACCCTATTTTTTTCCCAAACAAATGTGAGAAAATGTGAAAGTAAGTCTACACGCAACACAGGATCTTCCTTATAAGTAAATAGTATTGACAAAAGCATATGGGAGGTTTGCTAGGAAAATGGGGCTCTAGGGCCAAAAATTTTTTTTGAATAAATTAAAAAATCAAAATAAACAAAAAACTAGCTTTAAATTTGAGGCGATCTATT